TTGTAATCTAGTATAGCAAATAAACTTAATAAAGTTTTGGCGAGACTGCCTAAGATTAAAAAAAAAAAAAAAAAAAAATAGTTACTATAATGAGTGTTGCCAAGCGAAAACCTGCAATTTCGATTTTTGTCGGCTCCGCTTTCTGATCCGATTCCTGATAAATTTAAATTAAGCATAACATATATTATATGGTGTGTTAAATCACATTTTCTGGAGTTTGATCTGTAAAATTAATTTCGGAAAACTCTCAATTCCTGGTTTTCGCTTGGCGACGCTTTATATAAACTTGTATTGTATTTTTAAAACCTTATTTTTTTTATTTAAATTTAAATAATTTTTTTGTACTATTTTATAAATTTTCTAATTAATATTGTAATTTAATTAACTTTACACATATATATATATTTATATATTAAAGATATTTTGTGAGATAAGCGGCCCAAAAAATAAATAATATGGACCGGTTCAAAAAGAATTTAAATTTACAGGCTGCTAATATAGTCAAATTACAAACCTACGATGTTCCAAATATCATATTTTACAAAAAAAAATAACCATGCGGTGCAACTTTATTAAGATGAGAAGATATAATAGTGGGTGATAAATTATTCGTAGTATATATTAATATCTATATATACAGGTTTTTTATTGGTTGAAACTTTCATTCTCGAGAGACAAGCTCACGATTTTATGGGTGAATCAACTAATTTATGATAACCAAAAATGAGAGACAAAACTCATACCTTATTTTCATTTAAGTATAAGAACTTTCACTCGATTGATTTACATTATCATTAGCATAAAAAGCTTTTTTTAGCACTGTAGGCGTCAGGTCATTTGGTATTGGAGGCGCCATAATTACGGGCTGATCATGTTCTTTTTCAAAAATCCATTTTTGTTTATGACTTTCGTGATCCTTGATATGACGTAACAAGACATCAGCACCTTCAAGTTTCTCGATACCAAAGTGGCCGCTTACATGCAATACGTATTCGTTATCATTCAAAGGACAGATGTAGCCTTCGGGCAAATAGGCCCAACGTTGGTTTTGTGCCTCACTTAATGGTTTTTGATCAAATTGACATATGTGTGTTCGATGAAACGTGCGAATATGACCTAATTTAAATTAAAGGATACATATTTTATTATATAATAAAATTAAACAAAATTCTGTTAAGATAATTTACCTCCTTGAATATCCAACACTTTTCCTGAAGCTCTGTTAATAATGAATCCATTATCACATTTCCAAAGCTACAGTATAAAATGAAAATTCAATGCTTATTCATTTTAAACAAAAAAATTTTTATGGATAAATAAAATTACCTGACTGTCAGCATCAAAACCGAATCTTTGCTTAGAAACAATTATTCTAACGCCAGAATTTACTGAAAGACTCTGAGGCTCAAGGACATGTCCATTAATTTGAGATTTTATATAAAACCATTCTAAATAATCAGATACAATTAATTATATATATATATATACATGAATATATTTTTACTTTAGAAAAGACAGTAATACCATTTTGAGGAAACCCAAATTCACCAGACATCGTTATATTTTCACCAACTTTATTACTATGATTGGATTTTCCTTTCCGTGACGATGATTTAAAGATAGAGAAGATTTTAGAAAAACAACCATTAAATTTAGGCATGATCACTAATTATTTTTGTTACGTCGAAATTATGTGAAACGCACAAAAAAAAAACAATTTAGTGATACTTGTGTGAAACACTCGGTTAATACAGATGAAAGACACTTTCGCAAAAATTGGTTCAATTTATATAGTATTTAATGATGTAATATTTTTTAAAACGTCACCTTAACACCAAAAAAAAAAAAAAAAAAAAAATTTTTAATAACGCATACGAATTAATACTAATCATTTATACGTACGTAAAGCGTTTTAAAAGTTAACCATTTATAGATATATATATGTATTATTACTTTTTGTATTTCAGTATTTGTAATAGATAGTGTCAGGTGACTGTGACATTTTGGAAATTGGAACATGCACGTGTATTTCACATGTTATATATTTTTTTTCTACGTATAATGATAACAGGGATAAAAGGAGATTTAGAAGACGGAATGCATCCGTTAAAGGTAAATGGCGATATTTTAAGTTTATGAAACAAATAATTGATAGCGCAGTGATAATTTACAATGTCTATATTAAGAAAATATCACACGGCGCACACAAGCATCGATGATGGAAATTTCTGTGCCTTCTGGAATAGGCGTCCGACCCAAACTTAAATTGCTTTGTTTTAACATTTTAAGAAGAAAATATACAGCTTTACTTAAATTTGTATTTCAAATTGTTTCTTTAGATGATTCTTTTAATTAATGATTTATGCATCAACGTTTTTCTATTAATAAACTGCATGTTTCGGCAAATTTCTGCAGATTCTACATAATTTTTTTTTTTTATTAAGTTTCTATATTTATCACTGTTATCAGTTAGGAAAGTGTACGTACGAATCATTTCCTTTCACCAAATTCCCTATTTTTAGCACCCAATTAACCCGCTTATTTATGATAAAAACAAATATGTGTACTGTCAGACTGTGCAACCATCCTCGCCAGACCCCTGGAATAGGGGTGTAGCAAGATCATCAACTGGAAACAATATCCTAAACCCTAGCGGGCCAGAAATATTATAACCACACTTCCCTTTACGGATGGTGCACTATAACTCATCATCCAGTTTAATTCGTGTGTCTTTGTTGGAAAACAAGGACCGGTGACTGACTATATACAGATCCTGTAGAGTACAGTCGATAAGGAAAATTATCACTAACAATGTGATGTATTTATGAAATTGCTTTTATAATTCTAAATTATGGGATTGAAGCTATGATAATTTAATTTGATTGGCTAAAAATGAACAAATGTGTTACGAAAAATTTCAGTTACGTATGTATATACACACACATATATATTTTTTGGTAACAAATAGATGTATTTATTAACTAGGAAATGCTAAATCAATAAGCTCGTGATTGACAACCAATCAGAGATGCGGAAGCGAACAGCAGAATGCATGTGACAGTGTAGATCATAGACGTAAAGTCTTGGACAATTATGCCGCGGTTAATACGAATTTTGGAT